AGCCGAGCAGCCACAGGACCTGCCCTGATTGGGGGAGGGGCACAGATCCCATTTCCCGGCAGGGGTAGGGGGGGAAGGAGAGTTTTATTAAAGGTTCATTTCCTTCAAAGTCAGCGTTACACAGAGATAGGAGAGAGAGAGAGAGAGAGAAAGCCGGGGGGGGGGGGGGGGGGAGGAGAGGGAGGGAGAAAGCTTCCATTTTCTGGTTCACTCCCCAGATGGCTGCACTGGTCAGGGCTGGGCCAGGCCTAAGCCAGGAGCCAGGAGCTTCTTCTGGGTCCCCCACGTGGGTTCAGGGGCCCAAGCACTTGGGCCATCTTCCACTGCTTTCCCAGGCATTAGCAGGGAGCAGGATCGGAAGTGGAGCAGCCGGGACTTGAACCAGCGTCCACATGGGGTGGCGGTTTAAGCCGCCACGCCACAGTGCCAGCCGTTGTCGCCATCTCTGACTCACATGGTCCCGGGAGGAGCGCGGGCATTTCACCCCTGCCCAGGCTCTGCCCCCCAGCGCGGTGTGGCCTCACTCAGGCCCCGCCTGATGACCGTGAGTGCACTCCCGGGGCCAGGAGTCAACTGCGAGGGGTCACGCCCCGTCCTGCACTGCTGCAGCCGGGGTGGACATCCTCTGTCCTGAGCACTAACCCAGTCCTAGGCGCTCCGTCAGTTTCTCAGGTTCCCCCAGGCTCCCCTGCTGCAGGCCTGCTTCCTGTCTGTCCTTTCTCCATTTACGCCTCATTGTGGTGGGGTACAGCCTCCTGAGAGCCAAGGCACGGCACACAACTTTTTTTTTTTTTTTTAAGATTTATTTATTTGAAAGGCAGAGCCAGAGAGGGACAGAGGCAAGACTTCCATCCACTGGTTCATTCTCCACATGGCTACAACAGCCAGGGCTGGGCCAGTCCGAACCCAGGAGCCAAAAACTTCATCCGGGTTTCCCAAGTGGGTGCAGGGGCCCGAGCACCTGGGCCATCTTCTACTTTCCCAGGTGCATTAGCAGGGGTGTGGATCAGAAGTGGAGCAGGGGCTGTGCTGTGGTGTAGGGGGTATAGCCGCTGCCCACAATGTTTTGAGTCCTGGTTGCTCCACTTTTTTTTTTTTTTTTTTAGTTTTTTAAAATTTATTTGAAAGGCTTACAGAGAGGAGGAGAGGCAGAGAGAGAGAGAGAGAGAGAGAGAGAGAGAGAGATCCTTCATCCTCTGGCTCATTCCTCAATTGGCCAGAACGGCTGGAACGGCGCCGATCCGAAGCCAGGAGCCAGGAGCTTCTTCCGGGTCTCCCACGAGGTACAGGGGCCCAAGCACTTGGGCATCTTCCACTGCTTTCCCAGGCCACAGCAGAGAGCTGGATCGGAAGTGGAACAGGGGCTGGCACTGTGGTGCAGCGGGTTAATGCCCTGGCCTGAAGCACCAGCATCCCATATGGGTGCTGGTGGTGTGGGGACCCATGGGTAGGCCTACCAAGGGACCTCTGAGTTAAGGCTTGGCCTGGCAGCTAGTCCCCAAAATTGATCATTTGGCAAATTTGAAGAGTGTGACATCATTAAAGTCTACTTTGTAGACTAAGAGGGACTTTCCAAAAAGGGTATAGAGCGTTGTAAACAACAAGATGGCTCGGAGGACCACACGAAGAGCCTGCCCACCGCGTGACATCTCATTTGATTGGCCCAGGAGCGCATGAACGCCGCGTTAACAGGCATCGGATTGGAGTGCTCCGTGCATGGGCTTTAGCCCGCTTCTGATTGGTTGGATTTTGTATATAAGTCGTACGCCGAGGAAGGAAGCGCTTTTTTTTCCTTCCTCCTTCCTTCCCCTCTACCTCTATCGCTGTTATTTTCTCTCTCATAATAAAAGTCTACGGAAGACCGATTAGCCGCGAGTAGCGTCGTTCCTTTGTGGGCAAGGGAGCGACAGATTTGGAACCTGGCTGCTCCTCTTCCAATCCAGCTCTCGGGGGGGCGGGGGGGCGCTAGCCAAGACTGTGTTCTGTTTCCTTCAGGAGCAGGCGCTGGCCGGGTTACTTCATCCCAAAGATGACCAGAAGTTCCAGTCACCCAGGGAGCTCGTGCATCCAGACTCCCTGTGGGGCCAGCAGGCTTGGTTGGGGGACCTCTGGAGTCAGATTATTCATTGTTCCCTTGGGACGGCAGAGCCCAGCCCATCTCTGGCCTGGCGGAGGGTGCCCCAGGGCTCGCTGGGCAAAGAGGACCGAGGTGGCAGCTAGCCCCAGCGCAGGGACCCCGCATGGGCAGGAGGCACCCGTGCTGGGCTCTGTGGAATGAGGGTGGGGTCAAGGGTGCAGCCGCCTCCTGCCCTGGCAGGACTCCAGCTTTCTCAGGGCTGGTACCCAGGGACCGCCCCACAGGGCCGTTCTCTCCCTGCTGCGGGGGGTGGGGCAGTGGAAGCGGGTGGGCGGGTCCCAAATTCTCTGCTCAGACGCCTGCAGGGGTAACTTCCGGCCGCCACACCCGTCGCAGGGCCAGCTGCACGGCCCTGGCTCCCTCACCCACGAAGCTCCCCCAGGCCTGCAGCTCCCCCAGGCCTGCAGGTCCCCTCCTGTGGGTGTTTACTTCCGGCCCCCTGCCTTCTCCCGGGTCCTCCCTCTTCCTGCTGTGCTCTGGGTCCCCGGGGGCAGACCACCCACTGTGGCCTTGAGCCACTCTTGTCCCTGCAGGAGCCCAGCCTCAGGGCAGTGCCATCCCCAGGGCTCTGCTGCACTGTCCCCATGCTGCCGGGAGCCCATTTGCACGGTGGCTGGCACCCGTCCCCAGGCGCCTTTCTGGCTCTTCCTCACTGGCCGCCCACGTGCTCTGGGGGCACCTGCAGAGGCTCCCCCTGCGGCTTCTCCCGCCTCCCGCCCCGGTCTGGGTCCCTGAAGCCAGCATCCTGCAGGCGACACTCTTGCTGCAGCCCAGGGTGCTCCAGGTCCTGAGGAGGCCAGGGACGCCGCCCACCGCTCCCAGTGAGAAGACACCTGCACAACCAGCTTTTACTCTGCCCTTATCCATTGTAACAGTGCTAGAAAATATTATCATTATCTTAATGTAACCTAAAGTGTAATCACATTAGCTTATTAGGCAACTAGTAGTAATAATAAGCAACGCTAAGTGTCTTTGAGCTAAGTAATCCAGAAACTATATTAAGTTGATTATCGTATCGTACACTCCCCCTTCCCTCCACCTGGCCAGATGTGACCCTGCCCTGACCACGTCCAGGAATGTAAAAGGGAGGTTTAAAGCTCGAGATAACAACCAGCCCCTACCCTGGAGTCGGAGGCAGGTGTCTATCAGAAGCGTCAACTTGATCTATAGCATTCCCCTACAGCCTGCTTGGACATGATGATAACAGCTCTGTACGAATTGGGCTCGGGGCTTCTCGGGGGCTTCCTCTCCTGGAGGCACAGAGAGGCCCGGGTTCGAACTCTAATTAAAACGACCCTGCTCCTTGCGGCGCCGGCACACCGGGTTCTAGTCCCGGTCGGGGCGCCGGATTCTGTCCCGGTTGCCCCTCTTCCAGGCCAGCTCTCTGCTATGGCCAGGGAGTGCAGTGGAGGATGGCCCAGGTGCTTGGGCCCTGCACCCCATGGGAGACCAGGAAAAGCACCTGGATCCTGGCTCCTGCCATCGGATCAGCGCGGTGCGCCGGCTGCAGCGGCGGCCATTGGAGGGTGAACCAACGGCAAAAGGAAGACCTTTCTCTCTCTGTCTCTCTCTCTCACTGTCCACTCTGCCTGTCAAAAAAAAAAAAAAAAAAAAAAAAAAAAGACCCTGCTAATTGGCTTCAACTTGGGTCTCTGGTGGTGTGATTTTCAGGGGACCTCGGACTGCGCGCAAACACCAGAAGGGCCGCCTCTGCCCCTTCTGAGCCGGGCCCACGGCACTCCAGGCACTCCCAGCCTCCAGGCCCCCAGCCCCTGTCACCAGGCGCGGTGATCTGTGTCTGAGCTGCCTCCCAGCGCCCTGTGCCCACGCTTCGAGCACACTCCCGCTCAGGGCTCAGGGCGGCCGGAGGAAGGAGTCCTCTCCGCTCTGCGTCCGCCCTCCGGTCCCCTTAGCGTGGGGCCACAGAAGGCGCTGTTCCGCGCCCGGAAGCCGTGGACACCTGGGCCTCCAAGAGTCAGGACGATCACTGGAGGAATCAACGAAGACAAAGACTCGGCCTCGGGCCGCCGGCTTGGACCACGTGCAGAGGGTGGGACGAGGGCAGGCACACTCCGCCCCCACCCCGTGGCTGTGTGGGCGTGGCTTCCGCCTGTGTCACGCGGGAGGCCCGCTCAGCGCTCTGCACTTGGGGCATCGCAGTCAGGAGAGCCTGGCGGAAGCGGATTGGAGCCCAGCGCGTGTCCGCAGCGCCCAGGCTCTGCGGGAGGCTCCTGGCGCCAGGCGCAGCCCGAGGCCTCCCTGGAGGGTGGGGCTGGGGCGGGGAGGGGGCGGGGAGCCGTGTGGCACGGAGCCGCCCTGGGCTCTGGGGCGGGGCCGGGAGGGCGGCAGGTGGCCGGCTGCCCGAGCTGGCTGGCCCTGCAGGAGCAAGGCCTGAGGGCGGGCAGAGACCCTTGCCACAGCGCCGCTGCCCTGAGGCACGCCCTCACTCCGGCCCCTGCGGGACGTCCCCCAGGACGGCGTTGGGTCTCCTTCACTGTGAAGACTCAGCTGAGCCGGCAACCCCGGGACTCCCCAGGTGCGAGGAAGGCGTGCCCGTCCCCGCTCCCCCGGGCGCCAGCGCGGGACCAGGCCTGGCGGTGTCGAGGCACGGACTTGGGTCTCGGGGTGCAGACGGCCCTCCGCGCTTGGCTGGTGGCGGGGTGGGCTCTGTCGTCCAGGACACGACACGTGGGGCCGGGCTGGGTGCAGCCACAGGCGCGGGGCAGCCGGCCTCTGCGTGTGACCAGCTGTCATAGCCAGGAGGCGGCACCGGCACCAACCTGCCAGGGGCCAGCTGGGGGGTGCCCAGCCGGGTCTCGCCCCTGGGGCACCGGCTGCCTGGCCGCCCGCGGTCACACCGGACAGCGTTTCACACTTGATTTTATTCCATGACACTGATTCGCTGAGGGCCCTTCCCCGGGCAGGGGCGGGCAGGGCCGCCTGGCAGAGGGGGCTGGCCTCCTGGGGGACCCAGGAAGTGCCGGCCTGGGTCCAGCCCCACCCTTCCCTTCCAGTTCATTTAAAAAAAAAACTGAGCTGCAAAATAAAATAAAACGGAAAAATAAAAGCAAACCCCTGAGTTGATTAAAACCAAATAAAAAGTCCCCTTTGGTGTGACAAGGTCCCGTCCTGTAGGCCGGCGGGCGGGGCAGCTGGCGGCTCAGTCCTCCTCCTCCTCGTCCTCCTCGGCCCGGGCTCCCTCGCCCCGCGGCCCCGGGCAGCCCTCGGCGCCGGGCCGCTTCAGGATGGCGCTGTACTTGAGGGCCGCGGCCTCCGCCTGCAGCACCACCTCCACGAGGCTGAAGACTGTGATGACCTGCGGCAGAGCGGGGCGGGGACGCGGGGGACGCGAGCTGTGGTCAGGGCCCAGCGCCGGCCCGGGCGTGCCACGTGCCTGTGTGCCCGTCCGTGAGGCGGACTGCGCCAGCACGAAGGCCACCGTGCTGGACACGCGGGGAGACGTGTGGCCTGAGAGGGTCGGGCTGGGCTCTGGGACACGGCTCTGCGGCCTCTGGGGAACACACTTTCATCAGGTGCCCAAAAGGACCCCAAATGAAGAAGCCCCGCGTGAGGGGGCAGGCAGTGTCGGAAAGCAGGACCGCGGGAGCCCGCGGGGCTGGGGACACTGCGGGTGCGCCTGGGGCCAGGAGGACGGGGCACAGCGGGGCTGGGGACGCTGCGGGTGCGCCTGGGGGCAGGAGGACAGGGCACAGTGGGGCAGGGGAGACCCTGTGGGCGCACCTGGGGGTGGGAGGACGGGGCACAGTGGGGCTGGGGAGACACAGCGGGGCTGGGGAGTCCCTGCGGGTGCGCCTGGGGCCAGGAGGACGGGGCACAGTGGGGCAGGGGAGACCCTGTGGGTGCACCTGGGGGCAGGAGGACGGGGCACAGCAGGGCTGGGGAGTTCCTGCGGGTGCGCCTGGGGGCAGGAAAACAGGGGCACAGCGGGGCTAGGGGGACACAGTGGGGCTGGGGCGCCCGCTGGGGGCAGGAGGACGGGGCACAGCGGGGCTGACCTGCTGCACCGGCTCCTGCTCGGGCTCCTCCGGCTCCCAGACGAGAGTGAGCTCCGGCTTCTTGCCCACCTTCTGGAAGTGGTGGGAGCGCAGGGCCAGGGCCTGGGGGTGCACACAGCAGCACCTCAGCCACAGGCTCCGGGCGCCGCCTCCGTGCCGTCCCCCCGGGTCACCCCTGGACAGCTGGAGGGAGCGCCCTGCCCTGTGCTCCCAGGCTGGCCTTTGCCCTCTTGGCCACCAGCCAGCATCAGGGAGGCCCTGCCAGGCCACCGTCCACGGGGGCGGGACCTGAGGGTGACCAAGCCCTGAGGGGCGGGGCTGCTCTGGGGGTCCTGCGTGCAGGGACCAGGCGGCTGGCGGCCCTGGTGTCGGGTGTGGAGGCTGCGGGGCTGCGCCCCCTGCTGGCGCTGGCTCTGTGAGCACCGGCCGAGGCTGGGCTGACTGAGCGCTGACCTGGACCTGAACTCCCCTCTGCTCAGTGGGCCCTGATTGCATCCAGCTGGACCGGGCTTTCTCCGACTCCATCTTATCAAGTCACCTTGGTCCGTGCTGCGTGCTGCGCTGTGCCCTCCTGAGCACTCTGGCCAGCAGGAGATTCAGCGCCGGGGCCAGGGGCAAGGCGGAGACCCGCTGACCACAGGGCCAGCTGCCACCGAGTCCCCTCGATGCTGGGGCAGGGGCCAGGCGGGGCCAGACCTCGGCCTGCTCTCCGGGAACCCCTCTGACCTTTCTCCTCCCTCGAGTTTCTGTAAAACACCCAGGCTTGCAGGCCCTGCCTGTGTCACTGAGTGTCCGTGTCCTCAGGAGGACCAGGCCTGACCTTGGCCTGCAGCCGCCTCCAGGGGGGCCCTGCTGGGCATCTGGGCAGTGCCCATCGGTGAGCTTGCTGTGAGGGAAGGGGGGCAGCCAGGGCTCCAAGCCCGTGGCCACTCTGTGCCAGTGTGGGCCACAGCTGAGTGAGGGGCTCAGCGTCCCAGCAGCGTGGGCAGGGACGGCAGAGATCTGTTAGCCCACTCTCCGTGCAAGTCTGCCAGCCGCAGGCCGCCCCGGGGCTGTGCTGAGTCCCGGGGAAGGGGCAGCTTCGCTGTGGCTCCCGCCCTGCCCCCGGCACTCACGTTACAGTAGATGCGCTTCTGCACCCCATAGCGTAGCACCAGCACGTCGAAAGCTTGGTTCAGGACACCCATGACCATGGCCTCCGACTCCAGGGGGCCGCACTCCTGCGGGCACAGCGCTCCAGCTGAGAGCAGGTGCGAGGCGGGCCGGGGTGGGGGTGGGGGTGGGGGAGGGGAGGGGAGGGCGCCCGGCTGGGGGCTGACCTTGACCAGGACAGCGAAGAAGAGGTTGGTGCTGAGCTCCTGCACGCGCTTGGCTGCCATGCGCCGATCGTTGCAGTGGCCGGCCTGCTTCTGCAGAGCCTCGGGCTCCACGTCGGGCGGCCCCCCGCAGCCTGGGAAGAGGGGGGTTCCTGGCAGGGTGCTGGTGTGCGGCCCAGGGCAGAGGAAGGTGGCTTGCTAGGGGCGGGGCCCTGCTGCTGCCTCTGTCCAGGCTGCGCAGAGAGCCCCGCTGTGGCTTCCCCAGCACCGTGCACAGAGGGCCAGTCTCCAGGCCTCCTTGGGCACAGTGGCACGCACTCTGGGGGCAGATGCAGGCTGCCCTGGCCCAGTGTGCCCTTACCTAGTGTGGCAGCCAGCAGGCGGTGCACGATGACGTCGGGGAAGCGGCGGATGGGGGAGGTGAAGTGCGTGTAGAGCGGCACGTTGAGGGCGTAGTGCCGGAACTGCTCCTGGTCGGGCAGCATCCCCGAGCAGAAGTACAGCGCCATCTGGGGACGCGGGACCCAGTCTCAGAGGCAGGCCTGGTGGCTGCTGGGAGGCCCAGAACCTGGCCAGGGGCAGACCTGGGGCAGGTCGGCCCAGCAGCTGCTGGCAGCGCGGCAAAGCCGGGCAGGTCCTCGGGGGCAGCAGCCATACTGCACATGGGCGCCAAGGGGCTGTGGCAAGGCTGGGCAGGGCCAAGGGATACGCAGGCCCCCTCCTGCTGAGGACACAGACGGTGGTGGCAGCACCGAGGACAGCACAGGCAGCCCCACCTCTGCTTGAAACAGGGCTGCTGGGGGGCCCCCGTCTCTCCTCCCTAATGGGACATCATGTCCTGCAGGCTGGTGCTCGCTAGGGCGTGTCACTACAGGGTTCCAGGACAGGTGTGGGCTGTCCCTTCAGCGTAGGACGGAGGTGGACAGGCACGCCTGTGGCCACGCTGGCCCACGCGGAGGCTCAGGAGGCTGTAGGTCTCTGATGATGCCAAGTCCAGCGCTGGAGTGGAAGACCCCCACCCCACCCTGAGCAAAGCAGCAGCCGGCTCCCGGGGCTCTCCCTTGGGCCCAGGCCCAGGGCCTTGCCTGGGGCGTGGCGGACATCTCCTTGGCCCTGACCTCTGCCTGGTAAAGGCTACACTTGCACCGCAGTACCTGTGTCCCCCAGTTCTTCACCCCACACCAGCCAAGGCGGCAGGTTGCTGGGCTGTCAGCCTCAGCTCACCCCGTCGCTGACTGCCTGGCCTTCCCTGGAGCTGAGACACAGAGATCTGAGTTCAGACGGCCTCTGACCAGGCAGGCGCCAGGATGAGGGTGCAGGGAGCATGCCCGGCTTCTGCAGGGCCCAGCACACACAGGGCCTGAGCCTTGGCCTGGGCCAAGCCCCTGAAGCTGTGCTCTCAGGTCCCCGAGCCGCGCCGGGGAGCAAGAGAACAGATTTCCCAAGATCCCCCTCCCCTCTCCCTCACACTCACGCCCTCCTGTGCGCTTGGCCAAACAGCCCGGAGGGCTCAGGTTTCTCTGCATCTTGGCCCTGGAGTCCAGGGCGCAGCTGGTGCCGACCCGCTCGGCTCCCTAACTCTGCTTCCCTTCCAGCCCCTGCTGGGCTCTGGGTTATGTCTGGGGCAAGTCACAGGGGAGGTGGCCGCAGCCTCCACTCCCAGCCATACTGGGGCTTTGTTCTCAGTGATGGCCCAGTTCCCCAGATGAGCTGGGGTGAGGAGGCAGAGGCCTGGCTAGCGGAGGTGTCTCGGGACGGTGGGATGGGAGGGACCGCGGCTTTCCCATCGGGACCAGCTGCCCTGGAACAGCCCGGGTCCTGTGTCAGCAGCTCGCTGGGCCCAGGCCTCTCCCTTCTGTGCTGGCTGCCACCACCCTGTCTGATCCCAGCTCCGCCCCGTCCACAGGGCTGGCAGAGGCGGGCAGCACACTCGGGTCACTCCCCGCCAGCAGGTTCTTGGGCAAAAGTGGCTCCTGAGGGCACTGGCCCGAGAGGTCCAGTCCTTTCCAGCCAGGGAGCCCCGGCGCTGGCTGGCCCTTGGCTGTGGAGGCTTCCAGAGACGGGGGACAGGACCCCGAGGCCCTGGGAGGGCACTGCCCAGGGGCTGCTGGGTCTCCTCTGCCAGCCCTGCAGGAGCCGGAAAGCAGCTGGGAGGGCGAGGTGGCCACGCACAGCCCCTTCGCTGTGGGTGTTCCCGGGGCTTGGTCGGGGGCAGACCGGGGACGGGGGACGGGGAAGGGCAGCCAGGCCTAAACGGCCCCGATGGTCCCATTCCTAGCAAAGCCAGGAGGCGTCAAGAAGGCAGCTGGGGCCGGCTGAGGCCACGGGATTCTCACGAACGGACTGGATGTGCTGAGCGCTGAGCGCTGGGAAGCTCCTCGTCACTCCTCTGGGCTGGGCTGGGCCCACAGCTGGCCCCGTCACCGCCTGCAGCTCCCGCCGGCCGCTGGAGTCGCCCCATTCCCAGGGCACTGGGCCAGGAGCAAGCCCACCCCAACCCCATTCTCTCCCACACAGGTGCGAGGCAGGTGCCACAGGCTGGGCACAGCTGCTCTGTGAACCCCGTTGTCCCCTCTGGGGTCCCTGGTCAACCTCAGGTCTATCTGGCAGGAGGCAGCGAGGCAGGCTCTCACGGCGCTGCCTGGGGACGTCCCGCTCTCCCCATAGTGCTCTGCTTCCCCAGAGGGGGCAGCCCTCTCCCCCCTGCCAGGTCCCCCGGCACAGACGTGTGTGGGGAGGTCGTGGGTGAGGCCCCCTTACCTGCATGGGCCGGGAGTACATGTTGGTGAGCACCTCCTTCCGGGCCAGGGAGTACTTGTCATCGCCAAATGTTTTGGTCAGACTTTTCTAGAAGCAAACCCAGAAACTGGTGTGAGGTATGGTCAGGCTTGGGGAGAGGCTGGTTTTGGGGAGGGAGGTCAGTGGTGGACTCAGCCCGCAGCCTGTGGCCCACCCTGGGCCTGAGACCTGCCCCTCCATGTCTAGCTGGCTGGCTGGACAGGCTGATTTCGCTGTGCCCACCGCCAGGCTCAGAGCTTGGGTGGGAAGGGTCGGTCTCTCCTGTGGAATGAGCCTCAGCCCCAGGAGGCCACGCTCCAGGCAGAAAGTGCCTAGAACCACTGCCATAGGCCCACTCCGGCTTCAGTATCCGGGCTCCCATGCCAAAAGCCTGGGGCCCAAGCCCAGCTCAGCCCTGGCCCCAGGACCCCTACCCACAGCCGGGCCTGCAGTGGAGTCCGTGCCCCTCCCCCACCAGGGCCTCTCCCCCAGGGCGTCCCCCCTGCCTGCCAGGGAGGTCTGGCTGAAAGGGAAGGGACCCCGGCGGGAGGTGGAGACAGCCATGGCCTTGGCCCCCAGCCGCCCGCGCACTGGCACTCACGTTGAGGGCGCCCGCCGAGCTGACGTCCACGGAGAGCCCCATCTGCTCGCAGAACTCCACCAGGTCACTGAGCATCTTGCTCTGGGGTGGAGGGTGCCGGCGCAGGAGAGCCCGGTCGGGGAAGGCCTGGTGGATCTTGTGGGCCACCGCCATGTTGGCTAGGAGCATGAACTCCTCCACAAGCCTGCAGGGACAGCGGGGCGCAGGTGACTTTCCCATCTCTCCTCCTGCCAGGCTCTCTCGTGCCGGGCGGGGGTCAGCGTAAAGAGCCCCGCCCCCCACCAGGTTTGTCGCCATGGTGCTTCCTCTCCAGCCCTGCTCTCGGCCCCCTGGTTTGCAGCGTGCACGCGGGCTCCCCTGCTGGCTGGTGGCCTGTCTCAGTGCCCACATTGGCCCCCTGCTCGCGTGTTCAGCGGGACCTCTGCAGGGTGGTTACACTCCCGGCACCCTTGGGGCTGCCCAGGCCTGTGCAGGGCTCCCTGGGGTGCGCGGCAGTGACGAGGAGCCCTGGGGGGCTGTCCCGTGTGGCACGGCAGCCTCCAGAGGAGGGTTTCTAAGTGGCAGGAGACAGGGACAGCCAGAGGGCACACGCTGTTGGGGTCAGACGGCCAGAGGGCACACGCCGTCGGGGTCAGACAGCCAGAAGAGTGACCCTTCTCGGAGCTCCCTCTCTCTCAATGGCTTCACTTGAGCATAAGAATCGGCAATAAGTATGAATGGACATGGCAAGGAGCGGGTAGAGGGCCGGGGACGGATGGGAGATGGCAGGAGTGGGCCAGCCCGCATCACACAGCCCCGAGGTCAGCCCCTGACCCGCTACTGGGGCGGGAGACCATGCTCTGCTTTCCCCACCTGGGGTTCCCTTGGCAGGACCCGAGTCACACACTCGTAGAAGAGCTGGTGCCTCGGGGCCGGCGCTGTGGCTCAGCAGGTAAAGCCTCTGCCTGCAACACTGGTATTCCATTTGGCACCAGTGGTGTCCTGGCTGCTCCACTTCCGATCCAGCTCTCTGCTATGCCCTGGGGAAGCAGCAGAAGATGGCTCAGGTCCTTGGACCACTGCACCCACGTGGGAGACCAGGAAGAATCTCCTGGCTCTGGCCTGACCTAGCCCTAACCATTGTGGTCCTCTGGGGAGTGAACCAGTGACTGGAAGATCTCTCTGTCTCTCTCTCTATGCCTTTCAAATAAATAAAATAAATCTGAACAAAAACAGCTGGTGCCTCTGGGAAGGGGGCTCGAGTGCCTCTTGGTGCCTGGTGGAGGGGACATACTGTGTGGGCAATCCTGCTCCCTGGGGAGACGGGGCCTAGGGGACCTGGCCAGCTCAGGGGACACTTGCCCCTCCTCCCTTCCCAGCCTGCAGCAGAGGCGAGGGAGGACGCTCTGTGACCTGGAGGTGTGGGTGGTTCTGCAGGGTCAACCCTGGGATCTGGCCAAGCTCTGGGGAAGAAAGGCAGCCACCTCGAGGGGGCCTCAGCCTTGGCTCTGCCCCGCCAGGGTGGGGGGCCTCAGCCTTGGCTATGCCCCTCCCTGGCGCTCCCTGGGGCGCAGCTGTCTCCTGGAGGAGCCCTCCCAGAACGGCAGGCCTGACCTGCAGAGGAGACACTGGCCCTGCACACTCGGCGTGGGGACGGCTTTAGGGGGCCCCACGGCCCACAGCAGGTAGGGTCAGTTTGGCCACGTGACTGCAAGGGTCAGGTCCCAGGTGGCCCTTACGCCATGTGGGAGACCCAGCATGTGCAAGGAGGGGCTTCTGTGTTCCCCTCTGAGTTGTAGTAACAGCCTTTCAGCTGGCCGCCTGCACACCACCTCCCAGTGTGTCCCTATGCCCACCACCTCCTGCGGAAAACCCTTGGGTTCAAGCACCTTAACCAAGCACCACGTCTTCTGAGATGAGGTCTGGATCCGCCTCCACCACGTTCTCACTGTGGGACCCGGAGCAAGTCCCAGGCCCCTCCCGAGCCTCCTCCCCACACCGAAGACAGGATTAGCAGCAGCACCTGGCCACAGGGCTGTGGCTGGGCTACGTGGAGATGACAGACCCCTGCCCTCACGTCCAGGCGTTCTGTCCCTGGGGTCTCGCCAGCTATGTGATTCGCACCCCTGCCACTTCCCAGCCTTGCTGAAGTCCTGCCCAGCCCTGCTGGTCACCCGTGTCACACCCAGCACCGCTGCACTCTGCTGAAGTGGATTTCACACCAGCTCCTGTCCACCCGAGAGGAGCCCCGGGCACTGCAGGAAGAAGTGAGACACGCCTGAGTGCTCAGGTTTCCACATCTGTGCCCTCACCCACCCGACAAACACTACCAAGCGCAGGCCTGCTCCTGGCCCTTCCTCCCCACGCAGTCAGGAATCCTGCGGCATCAGCACCGTCTGTCCCTGGGGTGAAGACGGAGCACCTGTGACCTCAGGGCTGACCCAGGCTGCACTTGGTGAGCCAGGCCGGCAGGTGGCAGCACAGGCCCACAGCAGCAGCACTGCTGCCCCCTCCCCTGCAATGGCCAGAGGAGCCTCCCCAGCAGAGCCAAGCGCCCACGGTCTCCAGTAAGGACAAGTACAAGGACAGAGGGAAGAGACAGGGAGATTCCCCCCGCCCAAGCCAGGAGCCCAGCCAGTGACAACAGATCCCAGGCAAGCCACTTTTCCAGGGACTCCGCTCCATCCCTGGGCCACAGTCACACAGGGCCACAGTCACTGAACGTCTCAACGGAGAAAAAAATATACGTGCTTGTTAACCTTGAAAACAAAACCTGCTTTAGCAGGTCCCGCGGAGTGTCTGGGTCTCCACTTGCCTCTGCATCCCCCGCGCCCCCTGCCGCCGTGGGGTGGGAGTTAAGAGCAGCCGGTGGAACGCTCTCCCAGTCTGGAGGAATCAAGCGTAACTCCAAGCGCCCAAGTCGCCAGCAGGGAGATGGCTGATTCCCGGGAGCTGACAAGGCTCATTACTGATCTAGGACAGCTGGGGGGCCTTTCCCCACACCCCAGCAGTCCTTCCAGTTCTGTCCCCGCAGGTGGGAGAGGGAGGTGCGCAGAGGCAGGGCCTGGCCAGCGCCTGGGCAGTCGGGCCTTCGGAAGCTGGAAAGCGGGTCCCCAGGGCAGCTGGGGGCAAGAGGGCCGAGCACAGCCATGCCGCTAGAAGTTCCACTTGGTTCCACTGAGTTCAGGCTTTGCACCCCCCTACCCCCCCGCAAGTCGGTTCTGAGCGCCACAGCAGGGAGAACAGGTCTGAGCAGCTGAGCAGCCGGAGGTGGGTGTCACTGCTCCCTTCAGGGGACAGCAAAGGGTCTCTCCAGGCTCACAGCCTGGATCTCTGGGGTCAATTCCCTGGGCAGGCCAGCAGGGGGCCCCCAGCACCTGCGTTCTGCAGGACCTGGGACGTGGCACCAGCAGCTTAGAACCCAGGAACTTGTGGGCAGGAAAGAGCTTACAGTTTATAAACTCTGGCCCTGCAGCCCTGGGTCCAGGGGTCTCTGGGCTCCCATTCACACTTCTTCCTTAGCCAAAGCTAGCACGGGGGCTGAGGAAATCAAACAGGTTCTGAGCCAGCACAGGGTGACGGGGCGGGGGGCCCCGATAGCTGACCCCCTACTGCCTCCCTCTTTTGGGGACTATGTGCACAGGCCCAATGGCCAAACCTCAGATGACACTCACGCTGTCCGGGGTGGTTAGGGCACACTGAGGGGAGCCAACACCACGCCCTGGGGCGGAAGGGGCGCCAGGCCCGTGTAGGGGCGGAGCCTGCCTCTGGCTTTGCTCCCTTGGTCTTGGCACCTGCCCTTAGCCGGAAGACCCTCCTGCCCCGGTCACAGCACGCGCAGGTATGAGATCACGCAGGCCTACTGGGGAGCGGGTTCTGGGCTCAGCCACCGCCTAACAACTGCTCTCTACAGGGGCTCAGACGTGGCCGCTGGCCAGGATCACCTTCCAGAACTGCAAGCTAAGCCCTCAGAGACGGAGCTGGAGCCTCCATCGCAGCTTGGCATCTGCTGAGCATCTGGGGCCGTGAGCCGCCGGGGCCCCACAACTCTGGAGGTCTGGTAGGGCTGTGCTGTGACAGACGGCTGGGTGGCACGGCCAGAGCCAAGGGCACAGGATCCTGGCACTCACTCCACCTGCAGCATCTCCTACCAGTGCTCTGGGCCCCAGCGGGCTGTGGGGAGACCAGGGTGGGGGAAGGGCAGGTGTGAGGGGCCCAGCAAAGCTCTGGCCCCACTGTGGCAGACAGCAAGAGATGGGCGGACGGACACACACACGTGAACACACGTGCACGTGTGCACACACACGGCAAAGACAGCTTTCCAGAACTGTGTTTCCCAACATGCATTGTTACTTAAAGAACAATGGCTAGGTATACCTGAAGCGCTGGCCGTTATCCACCACCTTTAAGATACTAAGTGCGCCCTGACCTCCCAAGGAGTGCCTGGATGCGGATCCCTGCTCCGCCATGCCATCTGGAGAGGCAGGAGAGACCAGTGGTTACTCCCCAGCAGCTGGCTTGCAACCCCCGCTCTGCACTTGCTGCGTGGATTCAGACACATTTCCGAACCTCTCTGAGTTCATCTGAGAGGCAGGGATGCAGTGTGCTAGTGCCTGATCATAAGCAAACACATCATCTTCTTACATCTATCGTGCGCGACTGGCCCGAGTGTCTCAACTCTAGGACTTGGGCTAAATCCTCAGCCCCAGCAAGGTTTCTAGAAACTTCTCCTGCCCGCCCACAATGCCACCCCCCATCCAGGATTCCATCTCTTCACCTACAAACAGCGACCTTCCTTCTTCACACCAAACCCGGTCCCGTCCCCTCCCGCCGGGCACTGAGGTCCAGGCCCTCTCTGTTCTCTCTCCCTCCCACCCCTAAATTCTCACGGCCCTCCTGGCTTTGGGCCTTTGCACAGCTGCTCCCATGGCCTGGAATCTCGGGCCGCTGGCTTCCCACTTCTTTTCTCTGGGTGGCTCATCCTCCCGGAGGGCAGGATAAGGGCCACCCTGGCTGCTTCCTTGGAATACCCTCTGCGCCCCATCCCAGAATTCGGCCCCCCCGACCAGGGGCTCTGCCTCCTGCCCATTCCGATGCTGTGGACTCTGGCAGAATGAAGGCTGCTGGGCCGGCACCCAGGCTCCAGTGTGCCTGTTGGGAGGGCTGGGGGCCCAGCGCTCACCTGTACGCTCCTGACCCCCACTG